CAAAACAAACTGCAGGTAAGCACTTGTACAAACTTGCAAGTATATGCAAGAAAAAGCATGCATCTGACATGATATCTGCAGTTTTCATCCTCCCCTTTAATGATGACTGGAGATGCTGCTGTTTTTGAAGATGGCATCTCATGGAGGGATTGTGAAGGTGGGGGCAGATTAGTAAATAACCCCGCTCCCTTCTTACGTTATGTAGGGAGGGGGGATCCTTGCTGTCCAAGGGAGAGTGAACTCTAGCCTGCGGGGCTAGAGTTCACTCTCGCGAGATCTGAGCAGAGAGGAACCTGGCGCTCAGATCTCACGAGAGGAACCTGGCGGAGCTTCTGTCTAGAGCTCCCCGGGTGCTCTCCTGCCTCCCTCCATGCTGCTGTGGGCTGGTGAGGTAGATCTTTGATCTCCCAGCCGGCCCATGGAGGCTTAGAGCAGAGCCGGCACTCAGATAGCTCCAGCTCTGCAAGAGCCGACAGGGGAGATCCGGAGATCTCCCCTACCGGCAGGGGTCAAGTCCTGGGGAATAAAGTGTGGTAACTCTCCCAAGATTCCCACCCCCCCAAAAAAAATAATATACACTTGTGTGTATATATATAAATATATATATATATATACACGCGTACACACACATACTCAGACACACACACATATATTCACAGACACACATACACACACACACACACACTTACATACACATACACTCACAGACACACACACATGCATTCACAGACACACACACACACTTACAGGCACACACACATAAATTCACAGACACACACTCACAGACACACTTACAGACACACACACACACATATACACTCACAGACACACACACACACATACATACACACTTACAGACACATACACTCACAGACACACACACATACACACTCACAGACACACACACACTCACAGACACACTTACAGGCACACACATACATTCACAGACACACACACATACACTCACAGACACACACACATACACACACACACACACTCACAGACACACACACATACACACACACACACAGACACACACTCACACATTCACAGACACATACACTCACACATACACACACACACACTCACAGACACTCACACACACACACTCACAGACACTCACACACATACACACATTCACAAATTATAATTTTTTATTAAAAATTGTCCACCCAGCCTCCCTACCTGGAGAGTTGGCGTGGACTTGTCCCTGGGGTCCAGTGGGTCGGGCACCTATCTCCATACAACAAGCGGCGAGGGAGCTGTGTGCTCTCTGCTTCCTCTTGCCGCGCGGGCTGTCTGCTGTAGCTGGGAGCCGGAATATGACGTCATAGTCCAACTCCCGCCATCAGCAAACTGCGCGCGGCGAGAGGAAGCAGAGAGCACACAGCTCCTGCACCGCTTGTTGTATGGAGATAGGCGCCCGACTGAGGGGGGGGGGGATGCCCATCACCTCTTGCTCCCCCCCCATAACAGCGGGAACACGGGGGGAGGAGGAGGGTATTTGGGGGCGGCAGAGTGCCTGCAGGAACAGCGGGAATGGCGTTCCCATACGTTCCTGCAGGACTCACAGGCGTGCCGCGGGTTTAGGGTGTGCCCAGGCCCCGTGCGCACGCCTATGAATTTAGCTAATTTTCTAAGAACTGGGAAGAGCACAGCAGGACAATGCATTGAAGCACAAAGCTGCAAATGAGGCATTCCAGTTAATGTCACAAAAATAGACATTCATGGTGAGAAATGAAGGTTTCATTCTTCTGACATTGCAGTGTAATGACAACCCGCACCAAACAGGAATGGACCAATTCACTAACCAGTAGCGATGAATATTGCTATTTTACTATACATGCAAATAAGCATGACTGTAATAAAGCTTTAACAAGCACTAAAATAAAAAATAAAAATTATATAATCCATAATTTGGATTTTGAACATTTAATTCGCGTTCCTGACATTTCAACTCCTAATACAATTAATACAATGCATCTCTATGAGGAGGTGCTGATTGGCCAAAACAGTGTTTGGCCCCACCCCATTGCAGATTTCAGCCATATTTGGCTAAAAATCGGCAATTCCAATAATGTCACCAAGGGGGCGGAACTAGCGCCGGCAGACCCGTGCAGCATTGAAATTAAGGTGAGTTTAATTAACTTTTAAGGGGACTAAGAGGGGGCAAGCCACCTAAATGGTGGGTTAAACACTATAGGGTTAGAAATACATGTTTGTGTCCCTTACCCTATAGTGTTCCTTTAAACAACTAAGATTTAATCAGAGACATTTGGGGTCATAGCCGTACGCAGGGGATGTGCTAGAAGTGCATCAGTTTGGATTAGCTTATTCTACTTTTGAAAAAAACACTGTATACATTTCTAGAACAAAAATATATATTTTGAACTTCTTTTGTTAAATTAGTATTTTCTTAAATAAGGTTTAGATGGTAGTTTTCTCTGGGTTACATCCTAATGCAGTGTGCTTCACATGGTTATGTTTGGGGTTATTCACCTAATCGGGAATGTGGATAAAAGAATTGCTAAGTGCAGGCCAGAAAAAATGAGTTGGAAATATATATAGATATACCTGGGTTGGAATGCATACATTTCATCTATATTAGTCTAACATTTGCATTTACCTTATCAGTTCTCATCAGATTCCACAATTCCAGTATAATGAATAACCCCAATTCTATTACCTTCACTTGAGCGTGTACAGTACATCTATAACAGAGATGCCCAATAGGTAGATCCCTGATGTAGAACTACAATTCCCATGATGCTTAACATGCCTTTAGTATGACAACCCATCATAGAAGATGTATTTTTAAAACATCTGGGGATCTACCTTTTGGGCACCCCTGATCTATAAGAACAAAACACTCACGTTAGTAGATTGAATGTTGCACATTGACCCATATGTGCAAGAGAAGGTTTGATCCTCTTCACCCAAACATTCCATGAGAACATCTTCAAAGCAGGCCAACAGCATGGGTGGATTCTTCATATTGTCCTCACTGGCACTTAGCAACACCCACACTGAAAAAGTACAAACATCAGCAAGTCTAAATCATAGGAAATACAATAAAACATAACATGTATTCACCTTGTACACTAAATCATACACTAATTCAGTCAAAAACAATAATTACTTACAGTTTCCAAAAATGAAATATTTGAGATGCCAGGTTACTGTCATGACTGCTTTAAGACTAACTTACGAATGTCATTTCTCTCTGTGTGTCTCTCTTTCTCTCCAGAGCAGGGATTTCCAGTGTCGTAATGAATCATTTGCTCAGAGTGTGGGAGGGGAAATCCCTTTATAACTAACTTGGCAAAATATAGAACTTTAAACACCTGCCCACTGTGTGTGTTACCTCCTCCCTGATAGAAATCTGTTCTAGAGAGAATATGTATGCAGAGTTCATGTTAATCGCATCGCCAGCAGATACTTTATTTACAGCGTAGAAACAAAAAAAAATACATAAATAAGAGGGACGCCTTTACAACAAAGATGTGCCCCTTTGAAAGAATATGTTTAATAATGAAGTTTTCAATAGACAAAATAATACACTATCACTAGGGAGGCTCTTAGTAGTACGGGATATAGGCCAGTTTAAAGGATCACTATAGTGTCAGGAAAACAAAGCGGTTTTCCTGACACTATAGTACCCTGAGGATACCCCCACCCTCAGGGTCCCCCTCCCGTGGCACTGATGGGGTTAAAACCCCTTCAGCCACTTACCTTAAACCAGCGCCTCTCCTCCCACTCCGACGTCAGCTCCCCCGTCCGATGTCAGTGGAGTCGAATGCGCATGCACGGCGAGTGCCGCGCGCTAATTCAAAGTGTCCATAGGAAAGCATTTCTCAATACTTTCCTATGGACACTCTGTGCAATGGAGGCGAAATTCGCCTCCAGCGTCGCAGATGCGCCTCTAGTGGCTGTCCGGAAGACAGCCACTAGAGGCTGGATTAACCGCAAATGTAAACATAGCAGTTTCTCTGAAACTGCTATGTTTACATGTGAAGGGTTAAAACCTGAGGGACCTGGCACCCAGACCACTTCATTGAGCTGAAATTTCTCACAAAAGTCAATTATTCAGTAGGGTTTCCACTGTTAATCGTGCATCTTATTGTAATGAAATGTAATGGTTTTTAAAGCAATGTGGAGAAGCTCTTTTAAAACATTTTTTTTGTCATCATTCTTAAACAATAAAACATATGATATTAACGGCTACACCATCATGACTGGGAGGAATCTTACATTTGCCAGCCAGATTTGTTTTGGAGGGGGAGGAGTGATTTACCCCCACAATACTCCCCCCACCTCATATGCCCATGGGCATATATTTATAAATACACAGACAGATTACAAAAACAAAAGAAAGAGGAACAGAATTCAAGTCTTTGTAGTGAAAACGTAGGGCTTTTCAGAAAACCCAGGACCTATAGAGAATTGCAGTATCTGTGATGGAGATATTTTTCCACAGTGGGCAGGGATTTGAAGTTCTAAAATGTACAATCCCATTGTCAATTCTCCACAATTCTTGATTAAAAAAACTAAAACATGCTGGTGTTTTGTTTCAGTTTATAGCATAAGCTTACATCAGCACATATGCAATTCACACTTAGAGGTGAGTCCAGTACAGCACTGAATTTTAGAACTGGTATAAATACATTTACCGTACATATACTCAGGGGCGTATTAGCCGCGAGGCAAACAAGGCATTTGCCTTGGGCGGCATTTTCCAGGGGGCGGCAAAAAAACGCCGCCCCCCAAATGCCCAGGGCAAATGTCTTGTTAGCCTCGCGGCTAACAGGCATGCTGGGTGCTGTGCGGGCATGCTGGCGAAGGAGCTCTTCCCCTGAGCGGTCTGCTCAGCTCCCTCGCGCGCCGCAGAGTGAGGCTGGGAGCCGGAATATGACGTCATCTTCCGGCTCCCAGCCTCACTTTGCGGCGCGCGAGGGAGCTGAGCAGACCGCTCAGGGGAAGAGCTCCCTCGCCAGCCGCCTGCCCAGCCCAGCCCGGCAACCACTGGACCACCAGGGAGGTAATGAACCCCCCCCCCCAGCACTCCCAAAAGGTAAGGAGGTTGGGGGGGGGGGTGAATAAAAAAAAATGTGTTAATGTGAGTGAGTGTTTGTCAGTGAGTGTGTGTCTGTTAATGTGTGTGAGTTTTGTTAGTGTGTGTGTCTGACTGTGTGAGTGAGTGTGTGAGTGAGTGAGTGTGTGCCTGTTAGTGTGTGTCTGACTGTGTGTGTCTGTTAGTGTGTATGTGTGTGTCTGACTGTGTGTCAGTGAGTGTGTGTTTGCCTGTGAGTGTGTATATGTGTCTGTTAGTGTGTGTGTGTCTGTTAGTGTGAGTGTGTTTGCCTGTGAGTGTGTGTGTCAGTGAGTGTGTGTCTGTTAATGTGTGTGTGTTTGTTAGTGTGTGTGTGAGTTTGTGTGTGTGTCTGCTAGTGTGTGTCTGCTAGTGAGTGTGTGTCTGTTAGTGTGTGTGTCTGACTGTGTTTGTCTGTTAGTGTATGTGTGTGTCTGACTGTGTGTCAGTGAGTGTGTGTGTGTCTGCTAGTGAGTGTGTGTCTGTGAGTGTGTGTGTCAGTGAGTGTGTGTCTGTTAGTGAGTGTGAGTGTGTCTGTTAGTGTGTGTGTGTTTGTGTTTCTGTTAGTGAGTGTATGCGTATCTGTCAGTGAATGTGTGTGTGTGTGTATTTAGAAGGCGGGGTGGGGGAAGGGTTGGGCAGGGGGCTGGCGCGGTCGGGGGGGGGGCGCCTGAGTTTTGTCCTGCCTAGGGCAGCACAAAACCAGGATACACCACTGCATATACTCACACGTATGTATTGAGGCAGTACATAGTACTTACATTTCTTACATAGCTGAAAAGAGACATGCGTCCATCAAGTTCAGCCTTCCTCACAAAAGGTTACTGCTGTTGATCCAAAAGAAGGCAAAAATCCTAGTCTGAAGCACTTCCAATTTTGCAACAAACTAGGAAAAAAAATCCTTCTTGACCGCAAGTCAGATATCTGGCATCAGATATCTCCTAGGATCAAGCAGCTATTACACACTAATTAGAAATTATATCCCTGTATGTTATGTTTTTGCAAGTATTTATCCAATTGTGGTTTAAACATCTGTAGGGACTCTGATAAAACCACCTCTTCAGGCAGATAATTCCACATCCTTATAGTGCTTACTGTAAAAAAACACAAAAACTTTTCTTTGCTTTAGACCAGTGGTTCTAAAACCTTTTAGGTTCAACTCACTCTTTTCAATATTTTTCCAAGGTGCCCCAAGTCAAAAAATGTTCTAGGTTATATACATGTGCAGCGCTGCGGCATATACTGGGTCCCTGTTCAGTAGAAATGTTTCCTGTCAGAGGCGGATCCAAAACCTTATCTTGGGAGGGGCACTGGTAGATTAAAGAAACAATCAAGGCATAATAACCACTACAGTATGCTGTAGTGGTTATGGTGCCAGCAATGCCATGGCGCCCTCCCAGGGTAAGTATTCTAACTGTTTAAGAACAGTTTGACAACTTACCTGGGGTCTGCCAGGATAGGGGCTGTAGTAGGGGATAGGGGCAATGGTGTGTGTGTGTGAGGGGTGCAATGTGTATGTGAGGGGTGCAATGTGTGCGGGATTAAGTGTGTGTGTGTGTGTGGGGTGCAGTGTGTGTACGGGGGTGTATTGTGTTTGTGAAGGATGTAGGGTGTGTTTGTGTGAGGGAAGCATTGTGTCTGTGTTTGAAGGGTGCATTGTGTGCGTGAGGGGTACAGTGTATGTGTATTGAGGGGTACCATGTGTGTGTGTGTATTGATGGGGTACATTGTGTGTGTGTGTGTGTATGTGGCAGTGTGTGTGAGGGGTACAGTGTGTGTGTGTGTGTATGTGGGGCAGTGTGTGTGCATAGGGGAGAATTATTGTGTCTGTGGGGTTGGAGGGTAGATTAATATATATTTTATTTTACAAAAAAAATGATATCCCCCTCCCTGCTTACCTTTGCCTGGGAGGGGGGACAGTGCAAGGCAATCCCTGGTGGCCCGGTGGTGAAGCCCTGGTGGCCCAGGTGGTGAGAATGAACTCTAGCAGCCACAGGAGCTGCTAGAGTTCACTCTCGAAAGATTCGGAACGTTGCAGTGGTAACCGAGGCAACGCTCCAAGCTTGCGATTGGAGGACCCGGCGGAGCTGCAGGTTAGAGCTCCCCCCGGGTCCTCCCTCCCCTGTCGGCGGCCAGCATTACACTGCTAGCGGGCCAGAGAGGGAGATCTCTGATCTCCCCTCCGGTCCTGCACAGTGGACAGGGGAGAGGGAAGCACGGTTCCCGGTGCTATGATCTTAGCACTGGGAAATATTTCTCGCCACCCCATCGTGCTGCGGCACACAGTTTGAGAACAGCTGCCTTAGACAAAATCTCTTTTCTTCCAGCCTAAATGCATGTCCTATGTATAGTCATGTTTATGAATATATTTCGAGATAATGGTTTGTACTGGCCCCTGAATATATTTGTATAATGTATAAAGCATCAGGATAAAATAATATTTTGATTTATTATAGCTTTTTACAAGGTACACATTGATGTGCTCCACAGTGATAAACATAAAATAAAACATATCCTACTCGATCTAGGAGACTGTAACGGATCACCTGGCACCCCGACTGGGTACCTCTGTTGAAGTATGCTCCTAGCGATTCCTGAGGGCTCCAAGCACTCCACCAGAGACCATAACCACCGCAGACCCCACGAGCTGCCACAGCTTGGTTGGGGTCTCGCCGTCTCCTACCCACCCTGGACCTACGACAAGGCTCCAGGTTCCAGTGGGTGAACCTCGCTTTCCCCAGAGAGCTAAGCAGAAACAGGAACAAGCTCTTAAAAGAGCTTAGTGATTATAGCAAGGGAGTATGACGTATCCCTTGTAGCAGATTCCCCCAATAAGAGACAGGACTCTAAATTGAGGGTGAAGTAGAACTGACTGCACTGAGGCTTTATTGATTATTTTATACCAGTTTTCCCCCAAGGTTACCACCCACGTGGACTTTGTTGGGCACCGAAACCACAAACTCAACAACCAATAGTTTACAGTCACACAGTAAAACACTCCCATTCATTACTGTAAATTCCTCCCCTCTGCTTGGGAGATAATTGAGTTAATTGCTGTATCAACTCAATTATCTCCAAGCGAAAAATATACTTTTTACACATTTCTCATAACATTAAAATTAAGCATCCAATTCCCATAAAACTATATTTTCTTAACGGGCATAATTATGGGAACAACATATTAACAAATCATGCAAATCGGTTCAGTGGTTCGGGAGATAGATGGAAGTCACATTTGACCGACCGCTTGCACATTTTCATGCCCAAAACAGTTCCAGAGAATTAGGCGGTGTGGCCAGTCTATTTTCCATGTTAAAATTAGTTCAAATAGACGAACGGCAACCGTTCGTGCAAACCGTCAAAGTTAAAGTGCTAAAGTGCTAAAGTTGTTTGACTCCAGTCGAAGCGTCAAAGTCTGGAGAAGGTAAAGTCCAGCGGTGTTCGTGCCGTAGCGTGTCCGATTTGAGTTCCATGAACTCGACGACCAAACACCTCTGAACGGCGTTCGACTAAACAAAATGGCTGCCGCCACATGTTCGTTTGTCGAATGGCGGCCACTTCGACTACTTTGGCACTTCAGCTGTTTCCAAAGTGCCACTTCGAAAGTGCAAAACCTTTCCAGCGTTGTTTAAAGTGGCAGAAACAGCCTTTTCAAATCCAATATGCCCAAATAGGGTTTATAAACGACAATACTCCCAGGGGCCATAGTCACAGGGCAGGAGGCTGGCAAGCAGGCCCCTCCAAAAACTCATGGCAAACTTCCTTAAAAGGGGGAGTTTGTCACAGAGACAAAGTGCATTGTGCTTCAAGGTTTAGTATTTGCTGAAGCTGCATTTTAACTGCTGTGAGTTTCCTGCGTCAGGTTGACTATCATTTCTGTCTGGTAGATACTTGAGTGAGTGAGCAAGCAGTTGCCTGTCACTTAATCTGGCCCGCTAATTATTCAAAATACCCTCAATCACTGCTTTATGGGCCTCCCATAAGAGACAGAGAAAGAGAGACAGAGACCAAGAAGCAGACCTCACCATTCATATTTTCAGAGACACAAGGATCCAGACCTCTTCCACTACCACAGCATCATCTAACAGCCCTTGAAGGGATAGCGACATGAACACTGGGGAATGATCAGACTAAGTTATGCTGCTATTGGTGGCTTCAACTAAAGTGTGTAAATACATGTGTAATAGGAAAAGCATGTCAAGTGTGTGTGCACAGCCACCAAGCTGAAATCGGATTAACCTCCTTCCTATCTACTGCTACTCCTCTTTTTCCTAACTTGATCAATAATACAATAATAAATACATAATTATATTAGATAACCACAAGTGCAGACAAAGCTGGCAATTATTCTTTTAGAGATATGATTTACTTTACTAAAAATTCCTGTAATGTCTGTACATATATTTTCATTTACTATGATGTACATTTTAATATTCATTTTTTACATATTGCATTTCTACTGTGTAAATGCTTACCCTTGCTTTAATAAAGCTTGGAAAGAAAAAACTAAATATATGTATGTATGTATGTATATATATATATATATATATATATATATATATATATATATTACACACACACAATAATAATAATAATAATAATAATAATAATATTAATAAATACATGTTTTTGTTTTTAGTGTAATGCTAATGGCAGTAGCAAAGAAATCAAGATTTGCAGTTTCTGCAGAAAACAAATAGTAAATATCCAAATAATGACACAAAGTGTAAAGTTTTTATCAATTTGTATCAGAACCAGACACAGAAGTAACAGGAATAATGGTAGAAAATACAAGCAGGGAGAGGAGAGATGTAGCCCCTAAGAATCTATCACTGAGCGTGTCTTCAAGGATGCCTATACTAGACTAAACAACCCAATCATGCTTCAATATGCTAGATTAAAAAAAAAAAGTATCTGCTATGGTAAGAAAAGATATGACAGCTATAGATATAGAAAAAAGTGTACAGCAAGGTTCCACAGTACTTACTGCAATCACTCTATGTTCTGAAGAAAGCAGTGTGGGCAAAGTAACAGAACTGGCTGCAGAATAGAGCCCCAACAATTGTTTCGTTGGTCAGGGGGCTCATCAAGGAGGACAGACACCAGAACCTGTAGCAGACCACGGGTAACCCGACTGGTTACCTCTGCTAATTGCTTCCTTCAGCAACTCTGGAACCATTAAAGCATACAGACATCCATTCACCCAGTAACCAGATGAAACATAGTTCTGGGAGTCAACTGAGGTTTATTTGGTCACACATGGCTTTTACGCACAGACCCTTACATGGGGTCTCCCATACAATAC